GTAGAGGGTGTGACAAGGTGGATCAAGATGAAAGTTGGAACCCTGGGTGGGAACTGACTCCCCCAACTGCTACCTAGGGATGGGAAGTACAGACGGGGGAGCCGAGCAGCCCAGGAGCAGCCCAGGTGCTGGTGCCATTCATGGGTCATGACCTCACGTCTCCCAGAGCTATGAGGCGAGCTCTTCAGGCATTAGGAGAAAGGAAAAGATTGCTATCAGCTGCATCGTGCCTGAGGCCAAGGCAGAGAAAATCCCAGAGAAGGATCTAAGGGTGCAGAGTGTGAGTTAAAATAAATGAAATGAAGGGGCCAGGGAGATGGCTCAGTAGAATAAGCACTTCCCTGGCAAGCGCAAGGGCCTGAGTTTGATTCCCGGTTCTGCAAAAAAAAAGGAAAACAACTTTCGAGATACAAGAAACCTTGGTTTGGGGATCCAGGAACACATCCGTTTGGGCATGAAATATGTCCCAAGCATTGGTCTCCACAACCTGGTGGTAACGCTTCAGCATCAAAGAGCAGAGAGAGAAGACAGGTTATCCTGGGACCAGCCCGAATCAGCAGAGAAGGAGCAACATGTCTGTGGGTCCCAGCAGAGGTGGGGTGGGCAAAGGCATTTCTGTTTCAATCCAAGCAAATTCCTGTTTGTATCCAAAAGGCCTATACAAAGTTTTCAGTGAAAATAAATAAACAAATGAATAGCAAGCAAGAAAGAACAAAACAAGGCCACACCAAACTGTGAGAACTGAAAGGAGCCAATTTGGGGCAGTTTTCTAATAGCCATTACACACTCATCCCCCAGACCATGTTTAGCTGCCGAGGCATTGGACAGACCCACAGACTTGCACACAGCCCCGGCCCTCTGTGCAGGCTGTCCTGACAGCTGTCCTCACGGCTGGCTCGTGCACCCAGGCCCCTGCTTCCACTTTGGAAGGACTCCCATTGGAGTCCCTTGAGGGAACTCCACATCCTGGATCTTTTTGAAAGGGATGATTCCAGGCCTCCCCACTGCCTTGGCCTTCTCGGAGTCCCTGAGGGCTTGCATTCCCTCCCACCACGGGCTGTGGAGGTTTCCTGGGTGCAGCTTCTGAGTCTCGCCTTGCGGCAGCAGCCTATAGGGTGTCTCTGGCTGTTGCCTGGGTTTGCAGCCTCTGGAGGCCTGGGGGTCGACGCCACTGAAGGAAGATTTGCTCCCTGTCAAGACTTAGTTCCTGCTTGCTAGTGGCCTCCTGGTGACTCAGGTTACCTCTGACACTGTTTACCCGCTGAAGAGAGCTCCAGAGGCTAACGCCAGGCTGAATTGTCTTCATTTTGTTTATTTATTTGGTAGCTTCCCATTTTCTTTCTCTCACTTTTTGGAGCTGCTCAGAGACCCTTCTTTTTTCTATAGTAGTAAAATTAAGGGAGACCTCAGACATAAGAACCTGGGAAAATGAGGGTGAGGTAGGGGGAGGTGACAGACACTGGGGAGGGCTGTGTGGGGATGTGGAAGGCTGCCGGATGAGAATTTTACAGAAAGGATGCTGTCAGCAAATATTTAGAGGTCTTGCCTCATGGTATTTGATGTGGGACCCTTTTGCCTTCTTAAGAAAACTTCAGGAAAGACCTTTTTTATTTTTTCATGTTCTTAGAGTCAGATTTATAGTCCTCCGTGGCTCCTCCCGCCCCCGTGCATGCATCTCCTCCTAAAATGGGCCTTGAGTCAAGATCAGAGAAAGTAGCTCAGGGTGACTTAGGTACAGGTGGGTTCTGAGCAAAACGCCTCTCCTCGAGGGGAGGATTAAACACGAACACGCACACTGCTCTCCTTGCACTGCCACGTTCACTCTGGGGAGGTCCGCGTTATGACTCGGTCGCTATTCCATAAAACCTACGCGATTTGATAACGGCGACAGCTTTTCTTCCTGTCTTCCCAAGACCTGAAGTCGACTCGGTACAGCGCAGCCCAGGGGCCCACATGGTCCATCTGTTCTCTGACCTTTCCTGGACAGGACCTGCCCGAACTCTGCTCTATGGCTCTGGAGCCCAAAGGTCCCTGGGGACAGCAGTCTTCCCAGTGCTGTGGCTGGGGCTGGAGCCCTCCCACAAGACTGGTTTCTACCGCTAAGCCCGGCCCTGCCGTGCTCTCCCCTGGCCTCCCGCACCCTGCATTGGCTCACGTGCAGGTCCCCCTCCTGGCAATCAGCAGGAGCCCTGGCCGGGTGCTCACAGGAGGGAAGCTGCTCTTCTAGGTCTGTGTCTCACTCTGGGCCTCGGCACCAAGGGGGCCCACAGACCACACCTCAGTGCTACTTAGAAACTAAGAACAAAAGCACCAGGCTCTCCGAAAAGGCTGTACAGTGCCCTGTCCTTGGTTCTGTTTTCTTTTTCTTTCCTCGGGGATTGAACTCAGGCCCTTGTCCTTCCAGGCAAGTGCTTATTCTATTGAGCCATCTCTCCGACCCCTGGTTCTGTTTTCTAAAACTCCAAATTATGAAGAAAAGGATGGAGGGGGGAAAGGGGGAAGCCCTTACTGGCTTCTTCGCTGCAGTTCCGTGGCTCTGAGGCAGATGAGTGGGGAAGTAGGGGTGCTGGAGTCTTCTCACCTCCATTTGAAAGGCAGGAGCCTGGGCCTTTAGTAGGGGGATTGTCCTGCTGTCCTGCCCCAGCGTGATCTGCGAGGCTTCCTCACTGCTACCTTTGGGGTCTCTGCCTCTCCTGGCTGGTTTCCTTAGACGCACATACAACTGCTTCTCCTTTGGACCCTCTCAGCTCTGTAGCCTCAACCCCTACCACCAGGATGCGTGGCCCCAAATTCATAGGTTGAAATCCTACCTTCTCAGATGATATTAGGATGTGGGCTCAGAATAGGCAGAGGGAAAAGCCTTCATGAGTGGGACTAGAATCCTCAAGAAAGAGATCCCATGGGAGGGTTTAATTATCTAGATGTCCCCCATACTATGGCTTATTGTGCTGTGGTTGTTGTTGTGGTTTATTGTCTAGGTGCTGTGTTTTATTATCTAGATGTATCCCATGCTATTGTTTATTATGCTGTGATTTATTATGGTTTATTATCTATAGTTTATTATCTAGGTGCTTGGCCTATTATCTGGATGCCCCCCAGGAGCCTCACCTTTAGGAAGGTGATTGGATTACGGGGCCTTCTAGCTGACTGGCTATTGGAAGGTGAGGTCTGCTGGGAAGAGGTGGGCTCTGGGGCTCAGTCTTGCTCCACTGTTGGTCGCCCTCTCCTGTTTCTGGAGCATAACTTGGGCAGCCCTCCTCTGCCGCACTGCCCTGCTGTGGGGACAGCAGTCCAAGGACTGCTATGTGAGCCAAAATAAACCTCTCCTCCATCACATTTCGGATAGCGGGTGTTGTGTCTCAGTATTGGGAAAGTGACCAACACCCCAGAAAGGGACACAGCCCTTCTCGCACGTGAGAGGCAACTGCGTGGACGCTATCAGCTCTGGATTGCAGCACAAGCCCTCAGCATCTTGGCCCCATGGACTAACCAGCCTCGTTCAGAGGAAAGAAGCTAGAATAAGAAAAAGGACTTTTCTCCCTAAGTGGTAGCTAGGATGCCGATGTCCTTCCCCCATTGCCTCTGTCCTTGCCACACTTCAGGCTCTCGCTGTCCCTTCACTGACTCAGCTTCCAAGCTGGTCTCAGGACTCACATTCTTGGCTTCCACACTTGTTTTCCAGCGCGGTGTCACAGAGACGCATGCCTGTCACCACCCAGGATATTTCCATAGCTCCATTTCTGGTTTTCAGAACAAGGTACATCTTCAACACAGCTTCCTCTGGCACCTTCTTTGCGGGCCACAGCACGCGATAAGCGCTTCCTGTAGATCAGCTCACCTCCTCCTGAAAGCCTGGCTAGTCTTGACAGCTCCAGTGGACAGATGCGGAAAGAGTGGCCCACAGGGACCTCAGAACTCACCCATGAATGCACCTAGCTGATCCTAGGTGGGGTTTTTATTTTCCGATCTTAGGTTTTTTTTTTATTTTTTTGGTGGTACCAGGTTTTAATTCACGGTCTGGAGTCTGCCCTACTGGAGCCATTGGGTTCCTAGGGCAAGGGTTGGCAGTGAGGGGAGGCAGGGAGCCCCATGGAAGAAGGGTGTTGGGATGAGGGCCCTCCCTGACTTGGGAAGAGAAGGTTGGGCCCAGTTTCCAACACCCAGGGGACCTAGACAACTCTGCACCTCCTTACTCTCCTCCGGCTTCCTGCGCAGCACGAAGCTGGGCATTGTGTGGGCCTCTGGGAGATGTGGGAGGTGGGGATGGGGGTTGGTGGGAGCCGGGGCTGGGCCGCACATCCCTTCTAGCCAGTCTCTAGGCTTTGGTGATTTTCAGGCTGCTTCCAGCCCCCTATGAGGCTGCTTGCTATCAGGACAGCAGCCTGGGCCTGAGGTCTGATCACCCAGCAGATGACCCTTGCTCCTGGGGTGCTCCAACCTAGCTTGGGTAAAGGCAGGAATTGCCCTCCCATCAGCATCCTACCTACTGGAGGCCTCAGACCCACCACCTGCGGCCGCTTGGGCTGAAAGTTTCTACCACTCCACTCCCCTGTTTTGCTGGTTGATAGCATACATCCTGAAATTGGATTTTTCCTTTTTTTTTTTTTTTTTCTATGCAGAGGACAGAAGCCAGAGACCTACACATGCAGTGCAAGAGCGCTGAGCTATATCCTCAGACCTCTTTCAGTACTTAGAAACAGGCTCTTGCAAAACTCCCTAGGTTGTCCTTGACCTTGTCGTTTCCTGCTTCAGTCTCCCAAACAGCTGGAATGACAGAAATGCGCCAACATGCCTGGTTAGTGTTAGGAGATTCTTGCCAAACCTATGACAAACATTTTGTTTTTTCCTACCGTGCATAAAAACAATGCAAATGTTCAGGGTCACACTAATCAGGTAGCAGAGCTACAAGTGCAGCGTCCGGTACGGTACTGAATTCTACCCTCTCCGACCCGCAGGTGCGGGCAGCTTCTGGGGGTCCTAGCTAGCAGCACCGCCCCTCCCGCTCCGGGAGCGCACTTTGGGGACAGCAGGGCCCCAGCACTGCGCCGGCGGAGCCAGGCATCCTCGACTCCGGAGGGCCAGGCTGCTTGGGGACCCGGTGTGACCGGAGGACTTCACTAGCCTTATCGACTCTATTTGCATAACGGAGAAGGCTCGCTTCTTCCCCGCCCCTCGGCTGCGCTCCTTTTCTCTCGCCGCCTCCACCGGTATCCCGGGTCCACTGCTGCTGCTCCCGGCGGGCCCCTTCTCTTGGGAGCCCCCAGAGCGCCAGCGCCCGGCTCTCCCACTCGCGCCAGCGCGGAGTCCGCAGGCAACTGGAGGCGGGGAGCCCCGGCCAGGGCCGGGCTAGGAAGGCGCGGGGCACGGCCGGGCGCTAACAAAGGGAGCTGCTGCCAGCCGGCGCGGCGCGGGCCCGGGCTCAGCGGCTGTAAGCTCGGCGGCCGGGCGCGCCTGAGTGAGTAGGGGCGCGGCGGGGGGAGGCGCGGCGGAGCTGGGGTGCCGGAGCCGAGGGCAGGCGGGCGGGGTGCAGCACCCGGGGCACCGACGCCCAGCGCCGGTTCGGCTGCCGTCTTCCGGCTGGGAGTCTTCGGCGGGGTCCAGGCCGAGGGGCCGCCGGATTCCTCGCCAGCTCCGCCAGCTCGCGGACCCACAACAAACCCACGTGCGCGTCGCCCTCCCCGGGAACCCCTTTCTCCGCGTGCTGGTGGTGTTGTGTGAGGGGCGCATCCCCCCAGCCGGGTGCCTGCGGATCTTGCCTGCCGTTCTTGCAGATGGGGAAACCGAGGCCGGCGGCGGGAGGGGCAGCGCGGGCACCACAACAAACGCACGTGCGCCCGTGCGGGGATCCGGCTGCGCCCGGGCCCGGCCATTGTCTTGCCGCGGGGTGGAGCTGCTGGAAGCCCCCTCCCCGGGCCTGGCGGGTAACACTTGGAGGGTGCCGCACGGGTTCCCATCCCGCTGAACTGCCATAGATTTAAAAAGAGGGACGAGAAACAAGAAATGCCGCACGGGTTCCCATCCCGCTGAACTGCCATAGATTTAAAAAGAGGGACGAGAAACAAGAAAGAAAAAAAAAAAAAAAATCCTCTCGGGACGAGCCTTTTGCCGGCCCCGCGCGTTCCTGTGTAAACTGCATACACAGCCCTCTCCTCCACCTTGCGGAGGCTTCCTAGAGATGGGGTTGGAACCGAGGGTCTGTGGATCGCTTTCCGAAAAAGACTGCTCGGAGCACCGTGGCCCCCTGCTCTGGCAGCTCCCCGCCGGGAAATCGCGAGCGCCTCCTGCGGAGAGAACGCGCGCAGTCTGGGCGGCTGCGAGTTTCTGGGCTCCGCCTGCGCGCACGCATACAGCACACGCGCACACACAAACACACACAGATGCACATGCACACACACAATACACACAGATGCTCCAACACTCAAGCACACAGCAGACAGACAAGCACACACAACACACATGCACAAACATGCACGCACAACACAACACACACACACAGATACGTGCACACTCACCCACACAGCGCGCACACACGGCACACGCACACACACATGCACATGCACGCCCAGCACACACACACACAGGGACCTCTTGTTTGCTTTTCTTTGCTTACTTGTGCTCAGCTGAGCTCTGCAAATTTTTCTTTATCAGATGTGGGCTGGCAGCGGCGCGAGGGCTGGGGAATACATTGGCTTCTTGGGCGGAGGTGTTGGGACGTCAGAGGGGCCATGAAGGCGCCCGGCGCTGCCTGACTTGTACTTGTTGCGCCTTTGGGCTCCCGGGGCCACAGAAGACGAAGCCGCGCCCCCCGCCCCCACTCTGCCCCCCCAGGAGAACAGAACCTCGCAAAGGATTTAGAGAGCGTCCTGCAGACATTCTGCTTTTACAGGCGAGAAACGGAGTTCTGAGCTTGGTCCACTTCTTCAAATTTCAGCTGGAGACATCAAGGAGAGACGGCCAGGGCCAGGGCGCAGGTCTCCCAGCTCCCAAATGCAGCGGGCGACTAAAAAAAGCCAAACCCGGAGGGAGTCTGCGGTTGGCTTGAAAGACAGTGGCCGGGAGGCAGAATACAGTTAGACAAAGGAAGGGGTTCACAGCCCACACTGCAGCCTTCCACTATCTCTTTCAGGAGTTCTTAATTCTATTGAGAAAGGGTGGATTTAGTAATTCCGCACTCTCCCCAGCGTTCCCTAAGCGCAGCTTTTTTCTCCTAGCTGCCGCCTTCCCTTACAGTTGGAATGGGACCAACTGTGGTTACTTAGATGACTGGCTTCTCATCCCTGGGCCAGGAGACTTTTGTTTGGGCAAAAGCAGGGACTGTTGACATCAGCCTTGCTGGGAAGGAAATGTCTCTTAGCTGTCGCTCTGAGCCCCTCATGGGAGAACAAAGTCCTGTTTTCATTGAGTTTATTTAATTTATTTATTTTTTAATGAGTCCCGTGGAAGTAGCTGCTTATTTTTGTATTTGGCAGTGGAGAAGTTGACAAAACCAAGGAACACTGTGAGGCTGGACTTCCCCTTTTAACTGAGGGTTTGCGGGTTCTGTGTTCCTGTTATGTCCTCGCTGCACTTGTTTCCTTTCTTAGAATTTCTAGGGTGTTTTGCCTTCACAGTAATTTCACTTGGGCCGGAGTATATTTTTCCTTCAGGATGATAAAGAACTTCAGAAATTATCAGGCCAGACCCTGGGCTTTCTTACTTTCTAAAGAGAAATCCTTGCTTCCCGGTGATGCAGGGCAATGCCCAGCCACTTTATAGTGCTTCTTTTGTGCCTAAGTTGGAAACTGTTGCATCAAATGAGTTGTTGATGCCCCAGAGCGAAATCAGAGTTGTGATGGTTGCTGTAACAACGCCTTGTAAATGAGAGAATGAACTCCTTAAGGCCTTACATGGATTTTGTTGTTAAACAAAGCCATGGATCCCAGTGGTGTAGGGAGCAAGGGGTACTGCAGTTATTTATCCCCAGGGACCAGTTTCCTTCAGTGCTTCCTTTGCCCTTCGCCTGGATTCCCCTGTTCCTCTCTGTCTTAGGAGTCTGCAGTTGTGGAGCTGCTTTTCTTGCATGTTCTCTCTATTTAAGCTCTTAGCCCAGTCTCTGCATCTGCTACTCTAGTGGAGTAAAAGTTACTTAGGCCTTAGAGTTAGCGGAGGGGGTTGGCTCCTCCTCTCTCCCTTTGAAGCTTCTTGTAGAACACTCAGGCTGCCTGCCAGTGTATGTGCGGAATAAGGGGCATGAATGTCCTGGAGTTGTAAGGCTGCTAGTCATGTGACACACGCATGTGCTCAGACCTCTTGGCAAACCCAGGTGCTCACCAGCTTGTGAAGTGTGGAGAGTGCTGGGGGCAGAACAGTGCTGCCAGGTGAACCCAGGTGTGTGGCTTAGGAGGCCACAGCTACTCATAAAGAAGTGTGATGCCTGCCAAACAAGAGGAGCCCTGGGTAGTCTGGAAATCCCATAGGACTCTGAGGTAAACAAATCAGAGAGAGAGAGAGAGAGAGAGAGAGAGAGAGAGAGAACAAAACTTTCCCACTAATTGAGTGCGATTTCAAGTCACTTTGCCTGTTCTTTCCCTATTTGCTCACAGACAGGCAGTGGAGGTGGAAAGAGCCTTGTGCTCAGCCTGGGATAGTAGAGAACAAATAGGTCTGTTCTTCTTCCTGAGAGAATTCCAGTTTATTTGGAACTGGAGCTCTTCCAGGGTGCCTGAGAGAGCCTGCAGAATGGTGACCGCATCTCCATACTGATTTCTGTGCACTCCCTTTTCTTTCTGAGTAAAGGCAAAGACCTGTAGGAAACGTGAATGCAGAAGAGGGAAGCCATCAAAGGCCACGTGTGGCTATGGCTGGGCTGAAAAAGGCCAGAAATAATTCATTAACGGAACCCCCAGCACTCACTGGAGTGCTAAGGCCTTGCAAATCAGGACAGGGAGTTTCCTGCTTAAGATTGTTATCAGGATTTGTTTGATAAGAAGTGTATTAAAGAGAAGTGATTTCTTTTTGGCTTATGTGCTTGATGGCATTCTGGCTGTAGGCATACTTTTTATAGGTTTATATGTAACAAGAACAGGAAGCCAAGCAGTGTCACCATATTAAAATGCTAAGGTGATCTAAGGTGTTGGTAGAAGGGATAGTTAAGCTGCAGAATCATAATGATGATTTAAATTTTATTTATATTTTGGTTATAAAAATAAAGAGGATGCACAGTGTTTTCCCTTGTTAGAGAGGATTTAGCCTGGTGTCCTCGGTGCTCTCCTTGCGGCTTGCCCGACCCACCACTCAGGAGCATGAACCAGGCACGAGGGCTCCTCCGGACCCAGGCTGGTGGATGGTGAAGCGGTGGTGGGTGAGTACTACTTAGTCATAAAGATAAACTCCAGGCTTTTATAGGTGAATGCGTGCAGTTAGAGACCACATTTAAAAGTGAACTAAATCAGTTTCACATGTGTAAATGTTGTATTGTCTCCCTAGTGTAAGAACTTGAAAGAATAAATAAAATCTGAAAGCTATAATAGATATTAGGAAAGGGGAAAAAACTGCCCCAAAGAAAAGAACAGCTGGGATGGGGGAAAGGAGAAAAGAAAGAAGGAAAGGAAAATTATATATATCACATCATAGCTAAGATAATGGTACTAATTTCTCTTGGTTTGTTGAAAGGAACAGTTAATGCTTAATTGTTTGATCTGTTTTACATTATCTGGTATTTTGAACAACTATTTTGAAAATATAAACATGCAATATAAAAATGATCATTAATTGTCTATCTTGTTTTGAAATTCTATATCATTTTTATTGTTGTTAAAATTTTTAAAAATTCTCCTTAATGCCAAAACAAAGAGTGCTTATAAAAAATAAAGGCAATTTGGAAAGTACAAAAAAAATTGAGAGACAAAATAATTCCACAATCTGAAGACAGCCATTGTTAGTCCTTGGCTATTTTCCTTCTGGTCTCTTTCTTTTCTTTTCGCTTTGTCTTTCTGAGACACGGTCTCGCTGTGCAGTTCAGGCCGGCCTTGAGCTCATTTTGTAAACCGGGCTGGTTTCAAACTCTCAGTGATCCTCTTGCCTTCGTTTCCCAAGTGCTGGAATTCCAGGTGA